TATATATATATATATATATATAGCTATGGCGGAAAAAAACTAGAAATATAAATAAAAATGCATCTCTATGTATGTATTTATCTAGTTATACATGATGTTGTGTAGATGGTGGGTTTCAACTATCTCATTCAGGATGCATGCATGTATGGTGGTAGATGTGAAGCGCCAAAGTCGGTTAAGAATGTCGTGAAGGAACGATTATAAAAAAGGACAAAATTTTATAAAGGATTTTAAAAAGTATAAAAAAAGGGACAAAATATAAAACTAATTGCGTGCAAGAGATGTGACTCTCATAACTTTGGGAGAGATATGTCAGAAACCAACTTATACAAAAGACCAACTTCTTAATGTTTTTGAAGTACATTTTACCTGCCCTCCCTCTTTATCTTCTCTATTCAACGACACGGGTGTCAATTTTGATCCGAAACATGAAATCCAACCCGGTTCGATCTAAAAAATAGCGAATTTCAGGTCTAAAAATTTTGACCTAAAAATTTTCGAATTTTCGGGCCGAGCGAAACACGATAAATACATAATCGAACCGGATAAATACCAAATTATAATCTGAATTTTTCATTATGTACGAATCTCAAGTTTTATTCATTGTCTGATATTCGTATATGAAATCCGGTTCGGTCCAAATCGGCACTAAAAGCGAATTAAGCTGTTTAACATTTGGTTTTGGATAGATATAGTTTCCATAGAACCGAATAAACCGAGATCCTAAACCACATATCACACACACACATATATATTTACATGTTTGTTTTGTGATTTCGAAATCATACTATAAATAGAGGATTATGTATAAAACAATATAAACCACCCATAGGGTGAAAATAAAACAATAATGGTAGCCAAAATTTAATTCGACCTCTTGATATGTTTACAATTTGTAAATTTGGGAAACGAGGCTTTTATAAACATCATATAATAACAATATATATATATATATATATATATATATATATATATATACCGCACGGGATGATATCATTATCTAATATCTACCCCGCATTTCCAATCACACGCTGAAAATATTCATAATAATAATAATACCAACAACAATATGTAACGTTGATCGTATAATTTGATTTTGATTTATTGGTACGTTGGTCCAACAGGAAATTCAATGTTTCCTAGCAATTATGAATCTCGCGAGGAAATGCCAAAAAGTAAGAAAACTTTTGCACAAAGACACGCAATGAAATGTAAAAAGCATTTAGACAAAGCAACAGTTCTCGAGACTGAGAGCAATCAGAATGTGTGATGCTTGGCACAGCTCATACATACATACATACATACACACATACACACATACATACATACATACATACATACATACATACATACATACATACATACATATGTACATACATACATACATACATACATACATAATCTTAAAGGGCACTTTGTTCTATTTTTAGTAAAAACAGGTCCTCACTTTGAATGCCGAATAGTTTCGAGATGAAAAAATCCTCCAAAATTATCCATGGAATAAAGAATATACATAATTTATTATTGTGAATGTTTTTTTTAAAATCCATCTTTTTCCATTGATTTCATTATTTTATTCAACTTTTGGCCTTTTGCTATTTCCCCATAATATTGTTAGTGTATTACTCCCTTCATCCGCCTCGTAAAAAACCTATAATAATGGGACCTAAATGGCCAATGAGAGGAAAAAGGACCTAAATGATTAAACAAGACAAAGTTAGGGTTCAAAGTGAAATTCAGGTTGTAGTAGTGCACGTTTAAACTCTTTGAGGTGACAGGTTTGGTTGGCCTACACCAAGAAGCTAATGAATGATATTTTTTTTCCTGCGGATAATAATAATAATATAAAATGGCATATATCTTTTACTGAATTTTTGAAAAAAAAAATTGTAACCTATTTCCCAATACAGTAAATTTATCATAAAAAATTAATTGAATAATTAAACCAATTTGAATTAAATAATTCAAAATTCGGCGTAAAAACTAAATGACCATGATTTATTAAAAATCGAAAAAAATCAAAATTTGAATCCAATTAAATTGAACCGAAATTTAAAAAAAAAATGAGTATTTTTAAAAATTGAATCAAACCGAATCAAATCGAGTTTAATATAAAAGTTTAATAGTTAGTTTTTTCTAAAAACAAAATAAAAAGAACTCAAATATAACCGAATCAAATTTGAATCGAGATCAAAATGGTCACTCATAAATCATAATAATAATAATAATAATAATAATAATAATAATAATTGGAGCGTGGCCGAAAACGTTAGAACAACGGGTGAGCGGTACAAGAGTGAACATTCATGGAATATGGAAAAATCACTGTTTCCATAAAACTGTATGCATCATGCATGCATGCATGCCCTCACACTGCATTATTGTTCACTCGTGAATCATCATTCATAGCTTCTCAATTATAACCTTTTGCTCTTTTCATAAATTAATTTTACCCCACACCATTCATATAATAATAATAATATCAACAATGATATTTCTCGATGTGAATCTATCTTTTCGTCATTAATTTATAGAAACCCTAATATCATAATACCTTCATCCCTTTTTGTTCATATATATTATATATGGACCGTCTATTTCTTGTTGTGAACAGATATTACAGAGATCATTGAAATGGAATTGAAACTCGATATCCGTGAAATTAGAATTGGATATTCACCACCCTCTACAAAATTAATGATTAAAATTCATCAAACAAATTTAAAATCAATCAATTTTTATAAAAAAAATATAAAATCAATCCTTAGGGAGAAAAAAAATAATAATAAGCTAAACGGAATAACATATGCTCAAGAGCATTCATATAAAAAAATCATATATGCTCAAAGTTGTTTTTTTTATAATCCGAAAGTTCACGAGGTCTTTGGTCCAACTATATCTCTCAAAAGATCAGGAGTGAATGTCACTTTCCACGTTTGGATTTGAATCCAGAGTAAGATTATGTTTCGCATATTCTCTTACCACTAGACCACTCAAACTTAGGTATATGCTCAAAGTTGATAGTCCTTTGGAGGAATCTCAAAACAATACAAAAAACTTGTGTAAAAATCACTAAGTTCAAGCTCACAAATCCAAAAGTTTCCAATTAGCCAAAATATAATTGTTTTTATAAATGGGTCTCCTTGCTCATACTTTATATTTATTATATAATAAAATAAGAAATAACATTTTTAGCTTTTTGAATCTAGAAACGAGAAAAAACAAAAAGAAAAAGGAAGATGTACGGACAAGTTGTGCGAGAGGGAGCCAACACAAAAAGCAAAGTGGATGAGAGATGACGAACGCTAAAAGTTAAGAGAGCCGTTAAATAATGATCATTGACCCGACCCGTCTCGGGTTCCTCATTCCGGGTCCAGTTTCTCTCTCCGTATGATTTTATTTTGGGTCTTGGCCCAATTAGGTTTGGGCCTTTGCACTTACCCAATTATCCAACAGAACAGGCCCATTTTCGGCTGCTTCCTCATTAAGTATATTACGTAACCATCCCCATGAATGATTAAGAGCACAACAATTCGACAAGAAATACATATTATCCTATCAATTTACCATATTTTCTTATGACTTTACACTTTATAATGATAAATATATATTCACTGGTCATGCTTTGCACATAAACCTCGTTTTTCAACTTAATCACCGTTGGGTTTTCATAACCACACGTGAAAATTGAAATCGCCAAAACAAAAAAAATCGGTAGTGATTGTAACAATTTAATTTAACAAATGGGCGTCTCTGTTTCGCTTGTAATAACAAAAGGACAACATGAGCCGTTGTCCGTCTGTACGGACTCAGAGCCACCGGTTCTCCGCCGCTTCGCCGACTGCTTCGGCTTTACGTCGCTGTCGGAGCCGTCGCCACGTGCGGTTTTACGAATTAATTGTTAATCAAATCGACGGTCAAGTAGCGCCACGTCATCATCAATCTGGTAATTGAAGAAAGAAACGCGGGGAAATCGTTGCTGTTCTGTTAAAAGGGAAAGGCACCTAGCCGAGTGGAATCTGCTCGGAAGCCCTGCCGATTATTACGTTAGCCAGATCCTGGAAGCTTCAAGACCGCAATTCAACATGGATTCCGGAAACTGGGCTTCCTCCGCATCTGTTATACCTTGTTCTGTTTCTGGTTATGATGATCCTCTCTTCTCACGGGTACCATCTCTCTTTCTTCATCTCCTCTCTCAGTTCTTGCCACTGGGGAAAGAGGGAGAGGGAAGAAATGCAGGGAGGGATCATCCCTATTCTCTTGCTTGAATCCCTTACGACCGATTTTGTCGGTCACCCGGTCGTCCCAACCCTAGCTCTATTTCTTCTCTTCTGCCCCCATTCTCTCTCTTCTCTCCCTAATCGATCCTTCGCTTTCTCCGTTTCGGGCAAAGATCTTCGGATTTGTCTCTCGCTCCGTTTCACATGTTCTTGTGCCGGGTAAGTTTTCTGGCTCTGATTCCTCGAATTGTCGAGGTTTTCGATCTGGGTTTCTTTGTTTTTGGCATGCCGATGAACAAAAGTGAAAATTTCGAAGTGGGTGTTGTTTGTTTTTCATCGATTCGATCTCTATGTTTCTTCATTCGTGGATCGATCGTTAGTGTGTTTGTGTAGGATGGGTCGTGTGAAGCTAAAGATAAAGAAGCTGGAGAACACGAACGGCCGTCAAGCTACGTTTGCGAAAAGGAAACATGGAATCATGAAAAAGGCTAATGAATTGTCGATCCTTTGCGACATTGATGTCGTTCTCCTCATGTTCTCTCCCTCGGGAAAGCCTTCTCTGTGCAGCAGAAAACACAGGTCCCTCAATTCTCACCGTTACCATTTCATTGTCTGTTTTCACCATTGTTTTCCTCTTCTGAATCTTGCCCCCCCCCCCCCCCCCTCCTTTTCT